GAGAGAGAGAGAGAGGAGGGGGGCTCACTCACGGACAGGAGGAGAGAGAGACGCGCTCCAATGAGAAAAGTTTACTTGTTCTTTCTCCGCACAATCCCACAGCTGAGGGCATTGATGTGAGCGCAGAGGCTTTCGGTTTTTTACGCGCACTTCTTTCCCCCCATCTTTCACCCTCACACACGGAGCACCAAGTCCACCTTCTCACCTTTAGTTTAGCGCGTGTCTGTGTTTCTTTTCTTTCCTTTTCCTCCCTTTTATGAATGATTCTCAATCGCAGTACTACTCCTACTGCTCAGATACCCACGGACACCTCGCCGTCCTCGACCGCACGACCCCACCTCGGCACATCTCTCCTCAAGTTCAAACGCCACCAGGACTTTCACGGCAGCTTCAGGCGCACTTGGGGGAAATATCACTCCACGAAGAAAGACTTGATACTTAGTGCAGCTGCAGCCACGGAGGCGACCGTCAACATGAGTCTCAAAGCTGACGCAGAGCCGAATAACAACGTGTCCATCGAAGAGGAGGTGAGTTTAACTCAAGTTTTAGTTTTCTTATGTCTCAGCTGCACCGGGACTTTGACATGTAAACTCACTAAAGTTGTGTCTCCGGCCACAGATTCAGACTTTGGTAAGTTTTTGCTCGGAAGCTGTGAGTTGGGTGGAAGTCCTTTTAGCTCATAGTGGCTATTTCGCCCTCACTTGAAGTGCTGAAGCAGTTTATAAGGAAGCGAGGAAGGCGCGATTTAAAGGGGCGAAACCACTTCCAGAGCAGTATCAAAGTCAGCACATGAGACAGATAAAGGTTTAGCAATATGTTCCAAAATGTGTCTTCAACGTGCATTTATTTTTTCATAGTGTTTTTTTTTTTTCTCAGATTAAATTGTGTAGGCTATCACCAGGTGTGCAATAGCCTAATTACAGCAAATAACCACTAAAATTAACCAATTAAGCTGTTAACTATTTATTGTTTTAATATATAGGCTATTTTATTAAAGACCTAATTGCCACCTTCATATTGTGTCTCTGACTTGTACTGCAGGTTGCTGTAGGTTGAAAACCAGTGGATCAAATCCCAAAATTACATTGTTTTAAAAGAAAAAGCTTGAAATTAGAAAATCAGTGGCCGGTCTGGATTGGAAAAGGGATTTAAAAAAAGTCTTCTAAATAAAAAAATTCTTGTGCCTCTTCTAAATTTTAAAATGCCCATTGATTTTTTTATTTTAATTTTTTTTCTTCCCCTCCATGCTCTTCCTCAGCATCCACAGTTAATTGCGGTGACATTAGCTGTTTGTTTGCGTTCAGGTGCCAAACTAAATAAGATGCGTCATACAAATGCTGCAGGTCTCAGTTAATCATTGAAGAGGCCCTCAGCTCATCATGAAACTGAAACCTTGAAATACATTTAACAGGTTCCAGGAGATCCTTATTTGCAATTTGTGTAAATATTTAGATTTAAAAAAAAAAATCTGAATTGTAGCCTATTAAATCCAATAATATTTAAATCAATTAGGTAAATTGAATTGCCTCAAACATCCATGTTGACTTTTCTTTACAGCTGCCACTCAGTTCTGTGTGGCCAGCTATATTTCCTCTTTAATGACTCCTTATGGAGAGACACTGAGGGGAGCGCTGGGCCTTTTGTTGGTCCTCCTTTGTTCCCATTATCTTGCAACAAAGCCCCATGAGGCCACTTGACTTTTCTTAGCCTCTTGGTTTTTTTTTTTTTTTGTCTCTTGTAATTAAAAGCAAAGAGTAAGCAAACAGGATAGAGATTTGTTTAGAAGCCAAAAAGTCTGTTTTTAGACTTGTTAAATCACCGAGATATTATCTTGTCAATAGTTGTTCTGTTTGTTTCTAGACATCCTCATACATATATGACTGATGCATTTCAGATTTTATTAAAAACACTACAGGGGACTCCTGGAGCCACTCAGTCAACAAGAAGCCGGTGGACAAATTAAAACATCTCCATTGAGTTTGTGTCCAGCTGTGTCGGCCTTGAATATCTGTATGTGCTGACTTGTAAATGGCTGAGAATTGCTGCTGTGCGGCACCTGAAAAATGCTGGAGGGCCGGCAGGGTCGGGGCCGTGGGTCAGAGGAAGGAAATGGTGTCACGCTGTGCACCGTTGTTCAGTGCTGTTCGTCTGGCAGCCACATTGTACTGAGGGCCTCCCCACCGGCTGGGAACTAATGGGCCTCGCACTGCACACTTTAATTCCTCGGCCACACTGATCTGTACA